CCTTAACTATTAATTTAACTTGTATTTTAACTGAGATATTAACTTGTACTCTAGCTTGTACTCTAATTTGTGTTCTAGTATTACAGATTAACAAGAATTTAGGAATTTGCTAATTTAAGTAATAATATCTAATTTGTACTACAGACTATTAAATTGATCTACTATAATATTATATATAATGATAAGAAATAAATATAATAACTAATAAAATAATACATATACGAATAAATATAAAAATAATAAATAAAAACAAAGATAAAATCAGAGGTAACAGTACTAGATAGGATATTAGTATAAATACTAGTGTGGTTATCAGTCAGATTACAAGTTGACTTTACAGTTAAATCTATAATGTATACATGTATAAAGGCTGAAAATTTTCTCAACTCAGTCTTCAGTTCAGTTCAATTGAAATAGTTAGTTAGTTAGGATTTATTAAGTAATAAAGTTAATATTACAAAATCCTTTAAGCTCCTTAATTATTGTATTCTTTTGATAATTGATAAACTGTTTATCCCTATTAACAAGTCTTCATACCACTGTTAATAGTTAATATGCCTCTTTTATAATTGATTGTACATAATTCTTTCTATGTATAAACCCTTTTATCGTAATTGTTTTATTTTAAAATTGGTAATTTTATAGTTTTATTTAGTTTTATTTATTAGTTTTAGTATTATTTTATCTCGTTGTCTTTGTAAATTGTAGAAGGGTTACACAAATAACAGTGTATATATGCTTGATATATGGAAGTTCAAACTCCCATGTAATAGAAACAATCAAGTGACTGGTCAATATAGACATGATTGTGTATTCCTTTTTGCTAACTTGAATAATCCCTTTGTCAGTGACTTATCAAATTTTGTCAATAAAGTTTGAGTTGTAGTTTCGCTAAACTCCTTGCAAATTGATCTACTATACAAAAACAACAATTATCAAAGACCAAGTTACCTGTGTTTGATCCTCTTTGTGATTATATTTTATGTCATAGGTTAACTCATAAGTTGTAACAGGTGGCTCATCCAACACCATGATACAATAGTCATAATTAGCTGAAAAATTTTCATCTTCAACCATTTCTACTATAATATCTAATAAGATCTTGAGATATTAGTAGTTGTATAGATATATAGCTTTGAGGCCACGAGAATTTAGGTGGTCTTGATCTCTGTATTCTTTCTATGAGCTAATGCTCAAATGGAATACTCTTGATGTTTGTGTTTCATATCCTCAATACTGAGTCTATTAAAATACATATGTACTATTTTTTGATAGTAAAAGTTGAACTGCTTATCCAGGCTCGTCACAATGGTGCTGAAGATTACAGTGCAATAAATTATCTCTGCTTTAAAATTATGACAATTACATAATCTGTTTCATCTTAAATCTTTTATTAATTTGAGTACTAATTAATAGTCAGATCAAGAATTTAATTATTCATTAAAAATTAGAAATATAATTTCTGGAAATGGAGAATCAAATAAAGTCATTTTCAAAATAAATTCAAATTTGTATTACACAAATCCTTCGATGTGCATTTTTTCATTATTATTATTATTTAATGCTGTGTTTTCTATTTAAAATTTTTGCAAAAAATGACGGAATCAAAAGATGTAGTAATAATGATAATGAATTATGTGCCAATGATGTATGTATAATAATGATTATATCATTTCTTATACAATATAAAAAATATATTGGCTGGTTTCATACATAATCAATAATTAGTAATCTCATCACAAATTTGATATAAGTAATTACATTGTATTCTTTAATTATATTTCTATCTGGTACTTTGAATTAATATGTAAAAAATGAAAAAAAAAGAATAAAACTATTTATGAAAATTCACATAAAATTAGAAAGTTTTCAACATAAAACTATAAATAAATTCACTTAAAAAAATGATAAAAGTTACATCTTGACAAAAAAAATATTATTATATATCATTATTACAAAAATTAATTATTAATTGGATCTGAATAATCCACATTTGTTGTATTTAAACTTTACTTAAATAAACAAATAAATAGCCTATCGGCAAAAATAATTTTTATTTAAAATTTTACGTAATAAGTTGTTTTTATTATTAGTATGATCTTCTATTTATTATGTAACTTTAAGAAATATTTGTAATTAAAATAATCATCGATTGTTACTACATTATATATAAGGCATTTTATTTTAAAAAGGGCAGTCCTATTTTAACTATAAGTAGTTAAAATTTAGACGGTGAAAAATTTAAATGACAATCATTCGTCTACAAATTTTATAGGAGATTCAATTAATTTTCTTTGAATATTATGAGAATGATGACCTATTTGTTGGCTAATTTTATTTTTATACTTTTTAAATTCATTTATTTATTTTTTTTTAATGTAAATTTTACAAATAGATATTTTCATTGAAGAAGACTTAATTTAAAATTTGATATAATTATTTTTCTATTTTTTTCTATTTTGAGATAACAATAACAATAATTATTATTGAAATCTGAAATATCATCTAATATATTTTATTGAAGTTTAAAGACTTATTTTCAATAATTCTGATGATATCATGATGAAGGTGATAATGATAATAACAGTTAATATCAGATGAGATTAATAATATACGTTTGAATTTATATATTAATAAATTTATTTTAATACAGTGTATAATATTATTAAATGATTTATGGAATTTTTTGTGCATAAGGGAAATTAGTGAATGAATTAGAAGTGTTAATTCATTCTTAGTGATAAGATTTTGTAATTGATAAAATAGTGCTATAAATTGAACAAATCATCACCTAAAAAATAAATAAATAAAAATAAATTGACTTAATATTAATCACTGATCTGCCAACTTCAGTATTAATTCCTTGTGAAGGTTGTGAAGAAAATATTGGAGATAAAGCAAATGAATGTGTTATAAGACTAGACAATAAGAATGAGACAGAAATAGAAATACCTGTAGCATACTCAAAAGCTTTAACCTCAGAAACAAGTATAAAAAAATATAAACATAGAATAAGAATGCCATTTAAAAACATTAAAAAAGTACTAGAGATTATAGAATCTGCTAATAAAGAACCAACTGAGAATCAAGATATACATTCAAACATAAATAATATTGAAACAAACCAAAATATCATTAGAAAATGGTTAATAACAGAAAATTCAGTATATAAAAACTTAGAAACTATCAGGAACAAATTAAAAAATAGGACAGAGGTTAAAGTATACACAGATGGCTCAATGAAAAATATACTTGAGAAAGACCATATGGGCTTAGGATGGGTGATTATAGATCAAGAAAATATTAATCATATGACATTCAGATGCAACTT